TGGGATTGAATACCTGCAACATTGTTTCATGGAATAGGCAGTGCAGAAGCATTTGTAGTTAAGGTTACAGGTGAAGCACATCCCAATCCTTGAGATTTAATGATAAACAGGAGGGATCTAGTTGGTCTTTACTACACGATGGCTTTAAGCCTACACTGGAGGTATCATGTGGTGGTGCAAACCTTTAATACCAGCTCTGGGAGGTAAAAGCAGGGAGAACTCTGAGTTCTAGGCCAGCCTGGTCTACAGAGCAAGGTCTAGAACAAACAGAGCTCATGATGAATGAGACCCTCTCTCTCTCCCACACACACACACAAATTATGAATTTTAAAATTTTATATGTATAAGTGTTTGACTACTTGTATGTCTGTATACCACAGGTGTGCGTAGTGCCTTCTGAGGTCAAAAGAAGGCATCAGATCTCAAAGACCTTTTAAAGACAGTTGCAAGCCGCCATGTGGAAGCTGGATCAAATCCCCTTGCTCTGCAAGAATAGCCAGTGCTCTTATCCACTGAGCAATGTCTCCAGCCCATCCCACTTCAGAGATGATTGTTCTGCTTATTTTCTTCTGTTTTTTCCCCCTTTAAGTTTTCAAATTCATGGGCCTACATATATACATTACTGACATATCTTATGCCAACTAATACACATAATATATTTTTTCAGTGATGAGAATGAATTTACAGCCTTAGTACATGTTATACAGGGCTTCTACCATTGAACTACATCCCTCACAAAATGCAACTTTAACAGAAAAAGTACCAGCACAAAAAAGATATACTGTTTAAGTTTTTAAACCCAGTTGGAAGTGTAGCTCATCGGTGGACAGTTGCCCATCAAGCACAAAGCCCTTCGTTTGATCCTCAGCACTGACTGCAAAGCAAACAAGGATATACAAACCCAAGGAACTTAAGACTCAGCTTTCACAGAAAAACAGGAGGACAACAGTCATGGTGGACCTGTAGAGAGAGCCTTATGGATGCTTTCATAGTCACTAAAAACAAAACAAAGATTGTACTCTTATCAAAGACGCTCAGGGGCATCTATAGGTCATCAGTTGGAAAGAATGTATCTGAACTTTGAATTTACATGGAGTCACTGGTCTCCTATATTCTTGAGGAATCACCCTTGCATATTGTTTCCTGAGATATTTTCTTTCTTTCTCTCTCTCTCTTTCTTTCGTGTGTGTTGCCAGTAATATACTTTTCCCAGTCTTCCAACACATAAAATATATATTTATTTATTTATTTATGTATGATTAAGAGAGTACTAGCTGGACCATGAAAGAGTACAATATTTAGAATTGTATACATGGTATAGAAATGAAAAGACCATTGTAATGCAGTTCTTTAGAGGTGCTTGCTATAGTTATTTGCTATCTGCTATATTTTAAAAATGCTGCATATTTTACAAAAGCATTTTTAGGATAGTACATTAAGAGAACTGTGAGGTTTTTTTTTTTTTTTTTTTTTTTGAGACAGGGTTTCTTTGTGTAGCCTTGGCTGTCCTGGACTTGATTTGCAGATCAGGCTGGCCTCAAATTCATAGTGATCCACCTGCCTCTGCTTCCTAGAATGCTGGGATCACAGGCACACACCACCATGCCCGGCCAAGGACCTTGAGTTTAAGATCAATTTGTAGTATATAGTGAGAATGTCTCTAAAAAGAAAGTATATTTATTTATTTATTTATTTATTTATTTATTTATTTATTTATTTATTTTGGAGACAGGGTCGCACTCTGTAATCCTGACTGTCTTCAAATTCAGAGATCTTCAGGCCTCTGCCTTGTGAGCATTGGGATTAGAGGTGTGCATTATATACCTGGCCTATTTATTCAGAAGAGCTGTATGGATGTCATTACACCCAGCTTCCCTCTAGTCTTTCTGATGGTTCACTTGGAGGAAACCTTCTGGATTTTTGCCATTCTGGTCCCTGAAAGGTATAATTTGAATGACTGATATGGAAAACCTATATTGTACTAACTAAATTCTTCAAATGCTTTTGAGTCAGTCAGCAGTCACTTTTTGTCACAATAAAAACAAACAAACAAAACAAAAACCAAACAAGCAGGGCATGGTGGTGTGATGCACACTTTTGATCCCAGCACTCTGAGAGGCAGAGGCAGGCAGATCTCTGTGAGTTCAAGGCTAGCCTGGTCTACAAAGTTAGTCCAGGACAGCCAAGGCTATACAGAGAAACCTTGTCTTGGAAAAAAAAAAAAAGTAAAAAACAAAAACAAAAAATCCCAACAACAACAACAAAAATACCTGGAAACAATTATGGGAAGCAGATTTACTCGGGCTCTTGATTTTGGAAGTGTCAGTTCATGGCTGGCTGGCTTCCTTGCTGTGGGCCTTTGGTGAGGAAGAACATTTACAGGGCAGGTGGAATAAAGAGAGGATTGAGAGGGTCAAGTTATACCTTCAAGGGCGCCCCCAGGGACCTACTTTTTCCAGCCAACACGCACATACTAAGTTTCATCACCTCCAATAATGCCATCTAAGTATGGGTCCACCAAGGCACTGGTCCAGTCACTTTCCCAAAGCCCTCACCTCTGAACATTGTACTGGGAGCAATCTCATAGTCAGACCACAGCACCTTTATCAGCGTTCTGGGTTATATTTTATGTTTGCCCGTGGCAGTTTTACGACTGAATCTGCTATTGGCACTCTGAAGATAGCCCCGGATGCATGGTAGGAGGTTCTCTGTAAGTTTGAACCAGGCCTAGTGTACGCAGGAGACACAGGCCATCTGGAGCTACATATTGAGACACTGTCTTAAAACAAAACAAAGCACAAGCAAACAAACAAAAAACCAGACCCTGACTTCCTGTATACTTACAGTAGCTAGAGGAATGCAGATTTAAAGTCAGTACCTCAATTTAATCATCTTTTATCCTCTATCCTCTGGAAGCATTGCTGCTCAGAGCTCTAGTTTTATCCTTCTATGTACTCTACAGTATTCTGTCTGTTATGTTTCCCTGTAACTCTCTGCTAGGAGTGACTTGTGATATACACATATTCTACTAGCAGGAAACCAGGAACTGAAGGACAGCTCAGAAACACCAAGTTCTGGAACTGGACTTGGACTATATGGCAAGACCATGTTTCAAAACAGAACAGCTATAGATCTATGCTGATCTATAGTGTTGTGCAGGTGATAACAGTACGGAATAAATTTGTATTCTACTCTCAGTACTGGAGACTAATATTTTAATCTCCAAGTTTTTCCTTTTCCCCAAAACTAGTATTTGATGCAACACATGTAAAAGGAGAAACTATACACCAGAAACAGTGTAGGACATTTTATGTTTTCAAAAATAAGAACGATGTCCAATTGTGCAAAGCATCCATGTTTTTGGGAATTACGTTTTTGCTATTTTTTTTTTTTTCTGAGACAGAGTTTCTCTGTGTAGTCTTGGCTGTCCTGGAACTCACTTTGTACTCCTGACTGGCCTCAAACTCACAGAGATTGGCCTGCTTCTGCCTCCCAAGGGCTGGGATTAAAGGTGTGCACCATCTCTGCCCGGCTGAATCTTGTCTTTTTAAATTTATTTATTAGTATGTCTGTCTGCCATGTGCATGCCTGCTGATGGGGGCCAGAAGATGGTGACAGATCCCCCAGAACTGAAGTTACAGACAGTTCTGAGACTCCATGTGGGCTGGATTGAGCCTGGCTCCTTTGGAAGAGCAGCAAATGCTCTTAACCATCGAACCAGCTACCCACCCCTACCTTTTATCTTTTAAAGATGTATTTTTATGTGTATGTATGTGTGTGTCTGTGCACATGAGTGTAGGTGCCCACAGAGGCCAAAAGTTTTAAATTCCTTCAGAACTGGAGTTACAGGCAGTTGTGAACTGCCTTCTCTGGGTGCTGGGAGTGGAACCCAAATCTTCTGCATAAGTAATATGCAGAAGGATCTTAACTGCTGGTCTATATCTCCAGTCTCTGTATCATTCTTATTTTTGAGATAGGGTCTTATATGTTTCCTAAGCTGGCTTCCTCTCTACTATTTAGTCCCAAATATCTCTGAACAATTGATCCTCCTGCTTCTTCCTTCCAAGTCTAGGTTATAAGTTTGTACCATCCAGTCTATTTGTTTCTGAGCTATATTTTATATTTTTTTTATTAATTTTACGTTCTATTATCAACTTGCTCTTTTGCTTTAATTTATGAATTACATTAACATCTCATACTATATATCTGAAGCCAAGTACTGCAAATTTCATTATTTACAACCCTAAAATTTACTTAGTTTACATTTCCATTTTTTTTTAAAAGGCAGAGTCTCACTACATAGTTTTGACTGTCTTTTGCAGACCATACTGTCCTTGAACTCACATAGATCCACCTGCCTCTGCCATCCTGGTACTGGGATTAAAGGCTTGTGCCACTACACTTGGCTTCATGTCCATTCCTCTACTTTAACAATAGCAACACTAATGTAGTGTTTTAATTCTTTTAGATGAATACTATTCTTTTTCTAGTATAAAAAATAAACAGCTTACTTGAAAAGTTTATATTTAAAAGCCAGGTCAAGGTGCTGGAGAGATGGCTTAGCAGTTAAGAGCACTTGCTGTTCTTGCAGAGAGGGCTGGAGTTGATTTTCGGCACCCACCTGGCAGCTCACAGTTGCCTGTAACTCCAGTTGTAGAGGGTCGGACACCCTTTGGCCTCCACAGGGATCTGCACATACATGGTGCACACAAACTCATGCAGACACAAATACATATACATAAATAAAAATATCTTTAAAACAGATTCTGGTATAGGGATAAAACTCAGTGGTGGAATACTTGCTTAGTGTGTGGAAATCCCTGGGTTCAATATATATTAGCACAATAAAATTTAAAAAAAATGTTTATGAAGTCCAATTACCAAAAGGTATTTATGTAAAGAGAAATGTGTGGAAAGAAAAAGGGGTGTCTCATATATTTTTATTTAATAATTACATGACACAGTACATTGTATTTCTCTCCTTTTAATTTGTGGCTTACCTTATCACGCCAGCTTTCTTCCTTTCTCCACATTTCCTTTGACTGTGCATATAGCTAAGCTCAAAAGGCCTGCAGGGATTAAACCATGAAGAAATTCAAATGACTCAACGACTCAATTTCTTATTTCAGCCATTAGGGAAAAAAAAAAAAAAAACACCTCAAAATAAAACACGCTTACAGCTGGAATCTGCTCTGAAACCAGCCGAAGTTTGACCGGATGCGAAGCCCAGTTCAATGTTAATAACCTGGCTACTGGGCGGCGGGAGAGGTGACGGGCCACCTCTGGAACAAGTGTATTCTTTTCGCCGAGCAGTGAAACTGTGGTCGAGAACGGAAAGAAGTGATCACAGAGAGAGAGCGCTGGGACTCCAGGTTGCGGGCAGGGCTCGGCGGCTGACGGTCTAGCCTAAGCGTCCACAACGCTGCACAGTTCTGTTTTCCCATGTATGCTATCACCCACTCCCGCACGTCAACCCACAGCGCAAAGGCGGCGCGGAGCAGCCCGGCATCGCCCCGTTTTTAAGGCATATATATATATATATTTTAAAATGGGAGGCAGCTTGGCAGCGTTTCCATCTTTATCTCCTGAGCACACACAACGTCCACGCGGATACGTTTCTGTCCGTGGAGAGACGTTTTATTCCTCCGAACCTGCCCGCCTGGCTTTTTGTCAAGCAGCCTCCGGGGCTCGCAGCGTTTAAAACGTGACGTCGAGCCGAGAAACTGCAGCTGGAGCCAGGAGCGAGCGCCGTCCCGCGCCGGCCCAGCCGCGCCGGGGAAGCCTGCGTGGGGCTGCGCGAGGCCCGGGGCGGCCCACGCCCGCAGGGGGTGGCGGACGCACGTGCGCGCCCCGCACGCGGGTGCACGCTCCGGAGTGTTTACACCGCTCCCCGCCCCGGCCGGGCCCGACCCCGATCCCGGACACCGGCTCCGCAGCTTAGCGCCCGCCGGGGCCCGAGTGGCAGCCGCCGCCGCCGCCGCCGCCGCGTCAGGGCGGGCGGGGGAGGGGCGGTGAGGTCAGCGGCGGCGGCCGGGCCGCGGGCGGCGCATGCGCGGAGCCGGCCCCGTGAGTGGCAGGCGCGCGCGGGGGGCGGGGGCGGGAGGCGCCTGTGTGTGGGCGAGCCGGCGGCGAGTTTGAGAGGTCTGTGGTGCGGGTCGCCCCGGGGGACCCGGGCGCGGGCCTCGCGCGGCGGCCGCGGGCCTGCGCGTGTGTTGTTTGCGTGGTGAACGCACAGCCGCAAAACTTCCTCCTCCGCTGCCCCGGGGAGGGAACGCGGGCGTGAGGGGAAGCCGGCGTGAGGGAGCCGAGCCCGCTGGAGCCGAGAGCTAGGGCGAGGGAGCGATCCCGAGCGAGCGAGGACCGGGCGTGGGGGAGCGAGCCAGCGCTAGGGACCGGCGGGACCGGCCGCGCGCGGGGGCAGCGCGCGAGGGAGCGATCGCCAGCGCGCGGCCGAGGGGCCGGCGCTCGCGCTAGCCCGGAACCCACCACAACAACTGGAGCAGCTGTCAAAACTTCGCCGCGGCGTGGGCCTGACGGGCTGACGGCGCGGGGGAGGGGTGGCCGGCCCCGCCCCGCCCC